AATAATTTTATGAATTTTATGTGTGTGTGCTCTTTCATCTGCCATCACCAGCTGATGAACAAGTGACCCCCATGTGCACAGTAATAACTGAATTAAGTCATCAGTGGTAGTTTGTCAACTTTCAGTCATGTGAAAACCATGGCTTTACAATATTTTTTAAGATAAACAGTATGGAGGTTCCTAAAGAAATTAAAAATAGGCCCTTTGTTATAACAGAGGTGTCCGTTTGTCATTCTCTGGCGAATGTGTCTTGCTCTTACTCTGTAAACCTGTATCTTGCTCTTGCTCTACAAACCTATGTTGTCCTTCCTCAATAAACTTTGTTTCACGCTTGCCTTGCTTTTGGTGTGTCTCGTCATTCTTTGGCCAAGAGCACACCAAGAACCAAGAACAGAACAAGATTGCTGACTTGACATCTTGATGCTCTGACTCAGAAAAAAAAAAGAAAGTAAAAATAGAAGTACCATATAACCCAGCAATCCCTCTTCTCGGTATATACCCAAAGGAAATTAAGTTACCGCCTCGGAAAGATACCGATACTCCCATGTGCATTGCAGCATTATTCACAGTAGCCAAGATATGGAAACAACCAAAGTGTCCATCAACAGATGAATGGATAAATAAACTGATGTGTATGTACAGTGGAGTATTATTCGGCCTTAAAAAAGGAGATTCTGCCATTTGCAACAACATGGATGAATGAACCTAGAAGACACTGCTAAGTGAAGTAAGCCAGACAAAGAAAAAAAATACCGCATGATCTCACTTAGATGTGGAATGTTAAAAAACACAAACAGCAGCATTGAATACAAAGAAGCAATAGAATGGCAGCTACTAAAGGGTGGGGACAGGGAGGATGGGAGAAATAAGAAGACGTAAGTCAAGGGGTACAAAACTAGAGTTATGTAGGATGAACATATCAATAGATTGAATGTACAACATGAGGACTGCAGGATAATATTGTATACTGAAAAGTTACTAAGAGTAAATTTTAGGTACTCTTACCACAAAAAAAAAAGGTAACTGTGAGATGATGGATACGTTACTTTGGTTGACTCTAATAATCATTTCACTGTGTCTACATCTATCAAAATATGTTGTGCACCTGATATACAATATATATACAAAAATGTTTTTCAACACATATTTACCACTGTAAGAGGATAGAACATATTTATAACTTCTAAGTATTAAGCATGTGGTCTGTGGGCCTTCATTTGTTTGTGTTCTTGCCCCGGCCCCTTGAAATGTTGGGCATGGGCCTGCCACCAGCAACCACTGGGAGTGCCTGATTCCTTATCCGACAGGTGAGGGACGATGCTGTCACTTTAATTTACTCTTCCTGACAATAAGTTTGGTCACTGTGCATTTGTGTGGGGGTCATTCTTTTGTATGAATTTGCCTATTTTTGTCCTGTGCTTGTCTTTTCTCTTGAGTTCTTTTGTCTCGTTATTATCAGACTTAAGATCATCCTCTGTTGTTTAAAAAAAAATCCCAAACCTGTTGTTTTTATTTTGCTTTTACTTTATTTATTAGCATTTTTACCATATAAAATATTTTTATTTTTATGTAATCAGATATGCCTACCTCTTGTTTTATTGTTTGTAAGATTAGAAACTCCTAAGGCATTCCACTAGCCTGAGATATATAGTCACCTAGATTTTCTTGAAGGATTTTATGTTTTGGGATTTTTTTGTTGTTTTTTTTTTTGAGACAGAGTCTCACTCTGTTGCCTGGGCTAGAGTGCCGTGGCATCAGCCTAGCTCACAACAACCTCAAACTCCTGGGCTCAAGCGATCCTTCTGCCTCAGCCTCCCGAGTAGCTAGGACTACAGGCATGTGCCACCATGCCCGGCTAATTTTTTCTATATATATTTTTAGTTGTCTACCTAATTTCTTTCTATTTTTTTAGTAGAGACGGGGTCTCGCTCTTGCTCAGGCTGGTCTCCAACTCCTGAGCTCAAATGCCTCAGCCTCCCAGAGTGCCAGGATTACAGGCATGAGCCACCATGCCCAGCCCTGTTTTATGTTTTATATTTTATAATATAAAACCTCCCTCCTCTTATATTTTATATAGATTTTTAACCATCTGGAGTTAGTTTTTGTGGGTGATGGAAGACATGTTCCCACTTTCTTCTGGGTAGAAAATGCTGAATTTCTCTTTCCACCCCTCGGATGCCAGACTGTACATATCTAGCTACTAGTCAGTCTCTCCAGGTGATTACCTAACCTCAAGCTTATGTCCAAATCTGAGTTTTTTGTTTCCCCACCACTCTCCACACACACACATACACACACACACACACAAACAACAAAACAAAAAACATATTCCCAATAGTCTTCCACATTTCAATAAATAGTTCTTATATCTTTTCAGTTGCTGAGGCCAAAAGCCGCAAAGTCTTTCATGATTTCTCTCTGTCATATTTGTTCCACCTGCAAAATTCTATCAGTTCTACCTTCACAAGGTCCCAGCTCCAGCCTGCTGCTCACTCCTCCGCTGAAACCACCCTAACCACTGCTCCACAAGCCTCCTGGCTCGTCTCTGTTTCTGCTCTTGTCTCCCTCATCAACCCTACCTACACCTCAGCCAGAATAATTCTTTTCAGATAAAATTTTTATAGACATAATGCGTATGTACAGAAGTGCACAGATCATATGCGTGCACCTTGGCGGATTTTCACAGGGTGAAAACCCATGTCATCACCACCCAGATTGAGACGCAGGATGTTGCCAGAGGCTCCCCTCCTGCCCCCTCCATTCACTGCCTCCCCGAAGGTAGCCAGTAAGTTCTAACACCATGCGTGAGTGTGGCCTGTGTCTTAACTTTATTTAAATGGAATCATAGTAGGTACTTTGTTGGCCTGCCTTCTTTTAATATTCTATTTCTGAGATCATCCGTTTGTTGCAATAGTTCATTCTCATTGCAGTAGAGTATTCCAGTTCGCTAATATGCCACAGTGTATCTGCTCTACCTTTTGTGGACATTGTGTTTTCAGTGTGAGGTTAGAGCAGTCCTCTCTCTGTGGTTTCACTTTCTCTGGTTTCTGTGGTTACCCACAGTCAACCTCGGTCCAGTATTTTGGGAGAGAGAGACCACAGTCACATAACTTTTATTACAGTATATTATTATAATTGTACTATTTTATTGTTGTTAATCTCTCATTGTGCCTAATTTATCAATTAAACTTTATCATAGGTATGTGTATACAGCATAGGAAAACACATCATGTATGTAGGGTTCAGTACTGTCTGCTGTTTCCGGTGTCCACTAGGGGTCTTGGAATGTGTCCCCTGCAGATAAGGGGGAACTACTGTATTACAAATACTGCTGCTATGAACATTTTCGTCTGCTGCTTTTGACGAACACATGTCCACATTTCTGATGGGCAGAATACAAGCGTGTAATTGTGGAGTCATGGAGCGCGCGTATGTTCAGCTTTAGTAGATACTGCCAGATGGTTTTCCAAAGGGGTTGTACCAGTTTACGCTAACAGCATGAGAACTTCAGTTCCTGCACATCCTTGCCAACACTTGATAAGTCTTTTTCATTTTAGCCACTCAGAAGGGTGGGTGTAGTCGTAAGAATAATTATTTTTAAAATTTAACTCAGATTATGACACTTCTGAGCTCAAACTGCCCAGCGTCTCCCCACCTTACTCAGAATAAACAGCTTTACACTAGCCTGAAAATAGGGTGATCATATGGTTTACTGTTCAACTAGAACTGAATTTCGAGACTAAAAGGGACACTTTTCATAATTAAGCCGTGACAGCAGGCACAGATGCAGGGTCTGGGGTCCCACTCTGCATCTACACACTCACTTCTTCCTTTCCTGGTGGCAGCTTCAGAATCTCGGGGTGGGCCCAGGGATCCAAGGGATGTTGTGCCCGCTGAAGTTTGAGATGCGCTCTGTCATTTTTATCCCCAATTTGCAGGTAGGGACAATGAGACCTAGACAATAAAACTTCACTTAAGGTCACATAGCTAGAAAGTGGTGGTGTTGGGAATGGATGTACTCAAGCTGGGTCCTTGAGGAACGGCTGGCAGAGCAGGAAGCAAGTGGGCACTTTGCCGTTAACGGGCACCGTGGGCCTTTGAGTGGCTTTAAGCTATATTGTTGGTTGTGGGGCCTTTCTCATCTCCAGCCTGTCACTTTTTTCTGTTTATTTTTGGCAGAAACTTGGGAACCGTGGGTGCTGTTGCCTTGGACTGCAGAGGAAACTTAGCTTTTGCAACCTCTACAGGGGGTATCGTGAATAAAATGGTTGGCCGAGTTGGAGACACACCATGTATAGGTAGGACTGGGGGACAGCTCCTGCCCCTTCCTCTGCCTGCCCGATCACCGGGTTCTCCTCCCTCTCTGTTCTCTGCCCCCCTCTCTCCTTTTCTTTCTGCATTTCCTTTCTCCTCTTGGTGGCAGCTTCAGGATTTCTGGGAGTGGCAATGGGGCTGTTCAGAAAACTGCATGAGCGGTGATTGTATCTAGCAAACACTGTTTTTCCTAGATTGCATGCCTTTTGGGGATGACTTGGGGTGAGAAATGGACATGGGGATGCTAATGTTACCCCCAAGCTGCCCTGCAGTGCCCATCTCCGGTTCTGCAGACTTACGCGCAGAGGGTTAAGTACGTGAGATCTCTTCCCAGTCATGGGCTCAAATGAATGATCCAAGAAAGCTGAGAATTTAAGTTTGCAGTTACTGGATTTGAGTGGCATGAAAGTGGTACACTTCTACATTTATATTACTGAGCGAAATGTTTACATTAACATGGAAGCACATTATCTCATTCCTAGGAGTGGGTGAGAGGCGGGGCTAGGGTGTATATGTTTCACGCTATGCAGACTTTCACACTGTTCTTGTGGGAGTCCCCAGAACCCCTGCAGATGATTGAAGTTTTGAGAAACAGCTAAATTGTTCCATCTGCCCCAAAGAGCAGCTTATACTTTTGGTGGAAAACTAACCCTACCCTCCCTCCAGTCTTTAGCAATAAGCTGCACTCAGAAATTCTTGACACTCTTTATTCTGTCATGAACTCAGAGTTTTCTCCTCAACAAAAATCCTACCGAACTGTGCCCAGTCAGTAGTGCACCTTTTGCATCCAGCTTGGTTCAGCCCAGGCCACCAGGCCATCCAAGGTCAGATCCCAGAAACCAATTTCAAACTGGAGTTATGGGCCGGGCGCGGTGGCTCACGCCTGTAATCCTAGCACTCTGGGAGGCCGAAGCGGGCAGATTGAGCTCAGGAGTTCGAGACCAGCCTGAGCAAGAGCGAGACCCTGTCTCTACCAAAAATGGAAAGAAATTAATTGGACAGCTAAAAATATATAGAGAAAAAATTAGCCGGGCATGGTGGTGCATGCCTGTAGTCCCAGCTACTCGGGAGGCTGAGGCAGGAGGATCGCTTGAGCCCAGGAGTTTGAGGTTGCTGTGAGCTAGGCTAATGCCACGGCACTCACTCTAGCCTGGGCAACAAAGTGAGACTCTGTCTCAAAAAAAAAAAAAAAAAAACTGGAGTTACAGGTGGTAAAGCTTGAGAGAGAAAAGGCGTAACCTAAATTCTCAGAGGTCCTTGTCCTGGCTGTGAGACCGAGTGTGCTCTACTCGGCCTTTCCAGTGAGCCCTCCCCTAACAGCGCCGCAGCTGCCGCACGGCACGTGGGCCATCGGGAGGGATGGTCACCGCATGTAATACAATCATCCTCTTGACAAGTCTGCGCGGAGAGAGTGTGCCTTCACAGGCCTGCCACCCCTGCCAGGACCACTCTTGCAGTCACCCTGGCCTTTTGTGGTCTTGAGTAACTGAAAAGAAAACAAAGACTTGGCTGTTCCAAATATTAGGGCATACTGACCTTGTGGGGTCAGGCCAGCTCATGCCATGGCAGAAGCTTATAGGAAAAAGGATTCGCACCTCTTCCCACTGCAGTAGTTCCTTCACTGCCCGGTCCCAGCTCCCTCCAGAACCAGGGCAGGGTTATCTGCCTTTGAGAACCCTTGGGGCCTGTGACATTGAGCGTAGCCCTCGACTCCTGAATCCTTTCCCCATGGCCAGCAGCGGTGAATAAGGCCAATGTCAATCATGTAATGCATCTGTATCAACCAGGAGAGAGCAAAGCTGGGCCCTTCAAGGCCAAAGGGCTCTCAGGCTGGTAGCTGTGTGTGAGCAGATACAGGAACGATGGAGACAAGGCTGTAAGGTTGCTCAATGAGGAAGAAATCTCCAGACCTCCACTTAAGTGGATAACCCAGAATAGTTCCCTCAGGCGCAGTCAAGCCTCCCCTCAACAAACAGCCCTGGCCTCCAGATCACTGGACAGTGTGCACAGATGTTAGCTCTGGGGGTATTAGCTTCCCCAAATGATTCGAATGTGGTGCTCTTCCTTCCCAGTGTATGGGTGTGGGGGAGACGGGCTGGCCCACTGAGCAGGGCGGCGCGGACGGGCTTCAGGGCAGAGGCTGCTCTGTGAAAGCCAGACCTGCCACCCCTGAGGCTCCGTTTATCCTCCTGGATTTCGGGGTGTTAATAGTCCACCTTTGCAGCCACGGGTCGTGGCAACTAATCTGACCTTTGTCTACACTCTTGGGGTTTAACACTCACGTAGCATTAAACCTGTAAAGTGTGTGTGAATTTCCTGACTGCTGCTTCTCAGTTAGAACCAATCACCTTTTTTGAGCAGGATCTGGAGGTTATGCTGACAATGACATTGGAGCCATTTCAACCACAGGGCATGGGGAAAGCATCCTGAAGGTGAATCTGGCCAGACTCACCCTCTTCCACCTAGAACAAGGTACGTGTATCATAGAACTAGTTAAATAATTTGTGCAGGCCAGCTCTGGAGAAGTATACGAAGCCCCTTCTTGTCTGCTACAGATGTTGCCTTCAGGTCGTGAACACTTTGTTTTGAGTCCTTCCCACCTCTGTTGGGATCTGAAGAGGAGAGCATTTGGAGCTCTGCTGTCTTTAGCACCTCAGGAGCAGGGGGTGGCAGAGAGACATTGAACCTGGGCGTGGGAGGGAAGGCTGCTCTGCTTAGACAGATGCCAAGGTCTGTCTCAGGCAAGGAAGCCAGGACCCTCCTTTTAAGCTTTCAAGTAGAAACTGTTTACCAAAAGTCTTTGTTAACTTTCTTTGGCTTTTCATACTGCATCAGACTCCTTTCAGTAACATGTGCTGTTTCTCAACCTCTCCTTGTCCTCAGGGAAGACGTTAGAAGAGGCTGCTGAGCTGTCGTTGGGTTATATGAAGTCAAGGCTCAAAGGTTTAGGTGGCCTCATCTTGATTAGCAAAACAGGAGACTGGGTGGTGAAGTGGACCTCCGCCTCCATGCCCTGGGCCGCCGCGAAGGATGACAAGCTGCACTCGGGAATCGATGTTGACGAAACCACTACCACGGACCTGCCCTGAGCCCCTGGAAGATTGTATTCTAGATACTAGCTTGGTGGTAAAGTACAGTGTCCTGGTGTGGAGACGTAGCTTAATCAATTAGATCTAGAAATGGAAAAACTGTGCAGTCTGTCACTCATTTTGTTGCCTTGATCAATAAGTATCTGAATATTCGGTTGGGGGCGGGTTCTGCAGTGATCAGAGAAATGTCTGTATTAACATCAAAATAAGACTAGTGAAGATGACAAACCCTAGTGAGTCTTTCTCGTGCACGGCCCCCATCGTGCAAGGTCAGAAAGAGGCAGCATGATCAGGACACGGCAGAACTGCCTTGGGGCAGGCAGTGCCTTTTGGAACTGGGAGACCCGAGAGGTGGGGAGGGAGGGGCCCAGCGGAGGCAGTCGTGTTTGCAAGTGAGGCAGGAGCAGCAGAAGAGCTAACAGGCGAAGTCCGGGGAACCTCAGAACGTTGCAGGTTTGAGTCACAGGAACATGGAGTTAGCTCGAAGAGAGAAAATCCTTTAAGGGAAATGTTCTTCATCTATGAGACAGGAAACCGATTTTTCCAAGAAAGTTCAGATCTTCTGACTTACTAATATAGACACGTTTCCATACTTCCAAAGGACCCTCCGCTAACCCACCGCTCCCTAACTGGGAGACGAGGGGTCATAATGGAGACGCTCTTCAAAGACGAGCCCTTCAAAGACGAGCCCCTCACCTAGTGTACTCCCGCAAGCCAGCCTCACCGGCCGCTGCCCTCTGGTGTAGAGGTCGTATAGTGAGTAAGGGGCTCACAACCTCTGCGACCTCTCCAGCGACAGGGAGGAGCCAGCTGATGTGGGGAGGACGCCGTGGCATCATGAGCTCCCATACTGTCCTGTGCTTTGGGACGCCCCCTCCTGCCCCACTGAGCTGGGTGTCGTGCAGTGCGGTCGGCATGGCGAGGAGAGTGATTTCCTTGGTGGAGAGTATTCCTGTTCGTCTCTCTTTACACTGGAATGTTTCTGCTGTGATATATCTGCTCAGTTTTTAGTCTGTCAGGGCTCACCTTCTCTCTGGAAAGAAACTGCTTAACTTTAAATTCCATGTGCCACTAATAAAATATATTTTGAAAGAATAACAGTGTGGTTAGGAGTCACTGTTGACGAAGACCAGAATGTATGTAGCTCTCCCCTTGGTCTCAATGACGACAGCTGTACTGGACACAGAGACCTCGAGACGGGGGGCGGGGAGTTTCAGTAATGTGTCCTGCCTTGTGGAGTATATGCAGGAGTTTTTCAAAAGAATTGAACTTTTTCTGAACGCGTTAAGGAAGAAACCAAACCCCCATCTGCAAATATCGACAGGGTTTGTGGATCAGTCTTCCTGCACGCTGCCAGCACTCACCGCAGACGGAGGTTCCTGCCCCCAGACCCCGCTGGGCCCACGCTAGCTGCTCAGAACCAGAGAGAAAGGGACAACATTTGGCAACAGAACTGAGTTTAAATCCTGCTTCTCCTCACTACCCAGGCGACCCTGGACAAGTTAACTTTCAAGAATTTTTTATCTATAAAGAGGATTACTAGGAAGATTAAACGAAAGTAAAGAAAAACTGCTCAGTGTTTTATCTTAAGGCTCCTATGGACAAATACAGAAACTGGCCAGGCGTGACGGAGTTTATGTGTTTGTGTCCTTGAAAACCTCCATATGCAACAACTGCCCCTTTGAAAAGAAGGGCCACCACGAGATGCACAGACTGAGTGGCTGCACTACCAGAAATTTGTTTTCTCTGTTCTGGAGGCTAGAATTCCCAGATCAAGGTGTCCGCAGTGTTGGTGTCTCCTAGGCTTGCAGCAGGCCGTCTCCCCACGTCCTGCTCATGCACGTCCCTGCATCTCTTCTGTGGGTCCTAATCTCTTACAACGACACCAGTCATACTGGATTAGGGTCCACCCTAGTCACCTCATTTAACCTTAATCACCTCTTTACACCCCTAACTCCAGATACAGTCACATTCTGAGGGACCAGGGCTTAGGGCTTCAACAGATGAATTTGGGAGAGGACAGAATTCAGCCCATAACAGGAGGCAAAGCAGAATCAGCTTAGGGGTTGAAAGGAGAAGAGACCCTTTGGAGAAGGTAAAAGTCACTGAGTAGATAAGGAAAAATGAAGGAGGGAGAGGGGAGATAGGGAGGCCAGGTGAAGATCTGATTTTGAGCTGTCCGTTCTCCCATTCGCAAGGGAATTGGCTGTAGTCAGTAAGCGCTGCTGGATGCTTGGCTCTTGGCCACTTGACCTCTTTGGCTGGGCCAGGTACAGGGGTACGGGGTCATCGACCCCTTTGTGCAAAGCCAAGGTGTGTAATGTTGCCCTCAGACCTGGATTGTACAAAAAGCCACCTCCACTAGCCTGGGGCTTCCATAAGCAGAGACCACATACAGTTCTCACTTTGTTCCCACACGTCGTCGCCCGCCTGCTCCACGACAGTTTGGAAGGAATGGGCAGGATGTCATCTCAAAGGGAGCGACAAGCATGTTATCACTGCTGGGCCACAAGAGGGCAGCAGACTACAGTAGTCACCGTTACCTTGCCTGGATCAGAGTGTCCACTTGGAAAGTTTGGAACCAAAAGAGGGTTCCTGTTCCTGACCTCCATTTTCATCTGAATACCACAATTTATTTTAGAGCAGAATTGTCCAGAACACGAACACTGGCAGACACCCCACAGAACCCATCCACGTCAACGACTGAAGCCCAGCCTGCACCAGGCCTGCCGCTGGTACCAGAATCCCAGGAGAGCGAGGTCCAGCAGCCAGGCCCCTGCCCTTGGTTGCTCCTTCCAGCCAGGAAGACAGATAAATCGTCATTCGGCCATTCCCCCCAAAATGGTGGGGGAATGCGGAGCACAAGAGGGGCCCAGAGCGAGTATCCCTGAGGCAGGGGATGCTGAGTGGGGATTCGGCCCCTCTGCTGGGCTGCAGAGAGGAGCCCAGGGTAAGGGAGGGCCTTAACCTTGTAGTTGTTGCATAATAAACACTTTTTTCAAATCATATCCTTTCTAGACGTGTTCCTTTGTAGCATGAGGGATCATAAACTCAGTGCAAAGAAGGCAGAGTGGGGCACACGTCAGTCCTCTCCAGAGTCCTGTCATCAGAACCGACGGTGTTTGGGGAAGCCTGGGAGGGGACACTTGCTTCCAGCCCCCACCTGGTCCTCTGAAGTCCTCTGGTCAGCCTTCGTCTTTGCACAAAACCATCACTGAATTTGGATTTTGTAGCTGTTTTGAGGGAACAAGGAAGTGCCCTCATAGAGCTTGTCCAGCTGAGAAAAATGCGAGTGTCCCCTCTGCACGCTGTAGGCACGGCCCAGTGAGGGATGGGCCCGGTGAGGGATGGGCTGGGGCGGGAGCTTTGGCCTGGAGCACGGGCAGCGCTGGGTGGGGGGCGGTGCCCATTAGCGGCTGCATCTGGAGTATGAATACCGTAAACTGGGAGCACAGCCTTTCCGCCCCCCCTGCCCCACAGCCGCGCACCAGAAAGAGTGAGCCACGGTCTGTAGTCTCCTTGGAGAAGTTGCAAAGGTGCAGGGGGAGGCACGGGGAAGATTCTGCCCTTTCGAAAGGTGAAAACATGAGGCCCAGAGAAACTGGAGTTTCCCCCAGGGCACTCGTCCCGCTCAGGTTAGACTGAGGTTTATCTCAACCTCCTAGTGCCAGATCCTGTGGCTGTCACCCCTGACGCGACCCTACTGTTAGCGTGGAACACCTGGCAGGTGCTCACCGCACAGGTGGAGAAAGACTTCTCACGCAGAGGAGAGAGCGAATGAGAGAGTGAAAGGGGGGCAGAGAGCAGAATAGTGAGTGTTGTCAGTTGATAACAAAAGCAGCAGCAGATGTCAAAGTCCAAGAGTTGGTTTCCTGCCTTTCCCCGGAGAAGGGATGTGACTCTGTCCTCTGGCTATGGTTGAGGCTGTAGCTCTTTCTCCTGCTGTTAACTCAGGAACTCTAAAAGCAGATTCTCAACAAACAATTTTGAAAGAGAGATTTACATCTCTTTTCCATCCATTCAGCTCCTTTCAGAAGTTGTGCAAAACAGAACTCCTGCAGGGTGCCTGTTAGTGAGAGAACTCCTAGGATTGATCTTCAACTGTCGCTGGGGAAACTGTGGGATTAGGTACTTTCCTGTTACTTTTGCAAGGCCGTCCCTTTCTCTCGTCACACCACGAGTGCAGCCACCATCCTCGTAGATCCACGGACAGCCCCAGAGTGCGCCCGGAAAGACCAGCATGTTTGGTAAACTCTGCCCTTCAAATCCTGGGTTATTCCAAACCCACTGTTGAAGTTGGATTTTCGGGGAGAGGTAGGGGCCAGGCCTGGACTGCGTTGACAGATGAAAGCAGCCGGGTTAACCGCTGCTATACAGTCATCAGCACTTGCTGGATCCAGGGCTTTGGGTTCCCGCGGCAGCTGGCAGCCAAGGAGAACAGAAGCCTGAGGCTCCTCCCCGCAGTGGCCACCCTCGTGCCTCTGCAGGCACCTGGATTGTGACCTCAGGGTGGCAGTCTTTACTAAACAAAAATAAGAAAATTTAAAATAATAATGAAAATTTTAAACTATGTGTGAAAAATAACAAAAAGGAAAAAATCCTATCACCCAGTGAATATCACTATTAATACATTATTGTATGTTCTTCCAGATCTTTTTTAAGCATATATATAAATAATTATTTTATCCAGAATGAGGCCATGGCACACATGCTATGTGTAACTTTTTTCAGTTAACATTCTCCACCCTTCCGTATCACTAAACTTTCGCCTTATGTAATTCTTGGTCAATGTTCAAATTTCCCCAGTTTTCTCAAAACGGCCTTTCAGCAGGATTGTCCAAATCCTGCGTGTTGGGCAGTCAGGGCCGGAGCCCCGCTGTGTCACGGCTTCTCCATGGGGTTGGTCAGGTGGCCCCTTGTGTGCGAGGTGAGCGGCTGGCCACTGTCCCTGTGGGCGCTGGGGCCTGGCAGACTGGTTCAGACAGAAGTGACATCCCTGTGTCGCAGAAGCCAAGCAGCACTGGGCTGTGGGAGGGGCCAGGGCAGGCTTGGAAAGGGAAATGTGGGTTGTGCCCAACACAGGAGGCCCCACCCACCTTGGCAAAGGGC